TTCTGTTTCTTAAATCTCCCAAGTTGGTAGTCTTTGGCATTCAAAGTCTTATAACTCTGAAGCTGAAATCTTACTCTCCCCAAAATGCTATTTTTAGGGATCAGGAGAGGTCAAAAGCATAAGGAGTCAATGTCCAGCATGCCCAATGAAAGAATTGTATTTCAAGGGATCCAAAAGCACTCAGTCTTGTCCTTTCCAGATCAATCTCATTGTAAAACCTATTGAAATAACCTTTAATAGTGCAAATGTCAAACTGTTTTTATCCCATGGCTCATTAGCACCCATCTTTACAACTAGTAAAGGAACCAGCCTGAATGCTTCTTTGTGGCTTATTTTCTGACTTTCATACACAGTGTTCTAAAGTACAGCCCAGGCCTATCTGCCCCAACATGGTGCTGCTTGTAGTATGCTGAACACTCCTACATCAATTAAAAATGAGACAGTCCTCACCAATGGGCCCACAGGCCATGGTTTCTACTCATTTTTTTCTTCTAGGGTTTCCCTCCAATGAATCTAGGTTGACATGTTGAGAAAGCTAATTGGTACACTCATTTTCACAATATTAATTTCACTATCCCATTATCACAGGAGTTCCTTGAACCTGTAGTACCATCCCTGAATTTATTCTAAGATGTTTTGATATTTTCTTTTTTGAAGTATTTACTCTTTGACAAGATTCAGTTCGAGGGTAATTTCCTGTTCAGGCATTTGTATTTCTCTGATTTCCAACTTATTTTTGTATAAAAAGTCTACTGTATATTGTATGTAAATTTGGTGGTTTTTTAAAAAAAGATTTATTTATTATGTACACAGAAGAGGGTGCCAGACCTCATTACAGATGGCTGTGAGCCACCATGTGGGGTGCTGGGAATTGAACGCAGGACCTCTGGAAGAGCAGTCAGTGCTCTTAACCTCTGAGCCATCTCTCCAGCCTATAAATTTGGTGTTTTAACATTTGTTGAAAGTGTCTTTTAGTTCTAGGTGTATTACTGCAAATCATTATGGGCTTTTATGGAGAGAAACATGCAAATTGCAAGGATACAACAAACAGTAAAACTTTATATTATTCTCTTTAATTTGTTTTTAGTATTTTGTCATGTTGTTGAATACCACATTGAACTACATTGTACTGCTTCCTCATTTTACTATGACTGCTTGCAATTTTTTTTAATCCTTAGCTCATATTCTCCATGGATTATATATACATAGTCTGCATTATACTGAGATATGTACTCTCCAATACTTTTTCCATGAGAAACTCTTTGAAGTCTCTTGGATATGCATCTCCAAGGGACATTTTTGAAAATAGAAATTTGAGGATATAAGAAACAATTAAAAGCATGAAGAACATCAGCAATCAGGGAAATAAACCAATATTGAGGTGAGAGTTCACCTCAGTTAGAATTTCTGTCATTAATCAAACTCTCCTTAAAGAATGAGGAGAAAGAGGAAGACTTACTTACTTCTTGTAAAAATATAACCCATGCAGTACGCGCAATTGCTCAGAAATTTTGAAACAGAATTTTTTCATGACACAAATATTCCAATTGAAGTCATACATCAAAAAATTTTATATCTGGCCAGAGAGGTATATAATTGTAATTACTCATTTCTTCTCTATTAATAAAAACTAGAAAATATGATCTTTTTAAATGTCTAATCCTTGATTATTTGATGATAATGATATGGCCAAAACACACAATGGAATTGAAATATAATTTAAAGAAACATGAGCAAGAGATATTGAGACTGTAATTGGAAAAAGCACAGGGATAAATAGCCAAACTAGTGGAAACACATGAACTGTGAACCAATAGCTGAGGAGTCCCCATGGAACTGGACCAGGCCCTCTGGATAAGTGAGACAGTTGATGAGCTTGAACTGTTTAGGAGGCCCCAAGGTAGTGGGACTAGGACCTGTCCTTGGTACATGAGCTGGCTTTTTGGAACCTAGGGCCTATGCTGAGACACTTTGCTCAGCCTTGGTGCATGGAGGAGAGGATTGGACCTGCCTCGACTGAATTTACCAGGCTGGGCTGATGCCTCAGGGAAGACCTTGCCTTGGAGGAGGTGGGAATGGGGGTGGATTGGGGGGGAAGGCTAAGGGGTGGGAGGAGGGAGGACAGGGTAATCCATGGCTGATATGTAAAATTAAATTAATTATAAAATAAAAATATTCATAAAAATATTAAATAGAAAGATACAGAAAAGGAGAAAGACAGAAACACAGGATAGCTTCAGGAGGAGCTGGATCAAAACCCAGCGGTCCCTTCTGCCTCTTCAAAAGGGCTTTTTATAACAATGCCAAGGGGTGGGGCAAAAGACCTCTCCTTACTAGATCAAAGCATACTGAACAGCCAAGTATAGACCCTTCCAAACACTTGGTAACTATGCCTCTGGTCAAATCATCCCCTTATGCAGCCCTGATTGGTAAAGCAAGCTCAGATTCTCTGACCCTGAGTAAGTTCTGACTAGGAAAACTCTGTGGGTTTCTAAAGAAGACTTAATTGTGGTTGATATAATCAGTGTACTCCATTGTGTTCCTCTTTCTTTGCCAAATAACAAAGCTTCCTATTATAAAATAAAAAATAAAGAAACATGAAATGAAAAAGTAAAGAGTTAATAGATGCAACTTTAACATATTATAGTAATTGAGGTACTCCAGCCTGAGAATATAAAATGTTGCATATTATCCCTTATGTCTGATCCCCAAGTTTCTGTTTTCCACATTAACTGTAAGTAGAAACCATGAAAGTATAAAGAGCCTTTTGAAGGGAGATGAGTAAAGTGATAGAGGAGAGTACATTATAAGTAATATGAAGATACAGAGAGTAATAATAGGAGTGAAAAGTGTTAAGTAGGGAAGCAGCAGAGGGATTGGGGAGATGGAAATCATAGAAATCTAATAACTTATAATCGTGTGTGTACATCTACATATTTCTGTATGAATGCAAGAATGCATGAAATAATAAAGAGTTTAAAATGAGAAAATTGTATGGCTAGAATTTTCATTAAAGTACTTCATAATTAAAAAAAATCATAGTGCATGGCATTGAAGCCTACTATTAATTAGTTATTTACAGAGGTCACAGAAACTCTCAAAACACAATACATCCACTAGCTATACTGATTGGTAGCTCATTGGAATTAGATTATAAAATGCTATTCTTCAAGACAACATAAACCTTGCTTACATAATACAGAAAACAATTATGTAACCTATTTAAAAGTCTCCTCCAATCCATCTAGTGTTCATTAATAAGGAAAGTGCTATTTAGGTTGCAAGTTAATATTTTCCTGAATCAACTGAAATACTACCCTTTCAGAGGGAATTCTTCACCTTTATACTGGATTATTCTGCCATCTCAGGATCTCAAAGGGAAATATTTGGTGATAGAAAGAGTTTATATTAGATGTTATAGGCACTTGAAGGCCAGAGAATAGTGACAACTTGTATACACAGGTAGAAAATCCTAGGAGAGGTCAGAATCAGAATGACATGATTCTGTCTGGGAATTTGGGAGAAGGAGATAGCATGGAGTTGTGAGAGAGTGAGAGGGAGGAAATGCAAAGGATAGGGGGAAGATATTCCTGGTGTGGACCAGAAATGGACAAAAGAGGAGTTAGGTCTGGGGACCTATAGGGATAGTGTGAAATGAGAGGAACTCTAGAGTGGAGGAAAAGGAAAAGGGGGGTCAAGAGCAAAAGAGCATGGGCTCTGTTGAGGAGTGTAGGAGGATAGGGAAGATGATTCCTAGTCTGTCCTCATGTCCTCATCCAGGCTCATGGCAGCTCCATATCCAACTAGAGTTAAAGAAGTTCATAGCTTCTTGATCCATGCTCCACTATATCTGATGGGCACCTTCTAGATGGCTTTGAACCTAAGCCATAGCCTTGTGCTCAGTCACATACTGCTAGGCAGTGTAGAGAATTGCAGTATCTAGAAGAAGGACCCAGGGCTACTGGAATTTGCTGTCAGCAAGTATGATGAAAATAGACCTGAATGTAATGACTGGAGTTAATGAGTCATGGAAAGAAAACAACCAGATATTGTCCAAATTGTGATTACATAAATTTTGCAATGAAAAACTCTGCAGTAAAGGGCAAGACTGAATGTTCCTGATCCCCTGAAGTACTACTCTTACATGGGAAATACAGAACTGTGGCCTTGAATGAATCTGCATTTACAGGACCACAAAGAGAAAGATTTTCAAGGACAGTAAGAGTTCATCTTGTGTCTCAGCATAGGCCCTAGGTTCCAAAAAGCCAGCTCATGCACCAAGGACAGGTCCTGGTTCCACTGTCTGGGGGCCTCCTAAACAGCTCAGCCTTAGTGCAGCCAGGAGGGGACTGGACCTGCCTCAACTGAATCTACCAGACTGGGCTGACTCTCCATGGGAGACCTTGCCCTGGAGGAGGTGGGAATGGGGGGTGGATTGGGAGCAAAGCCTGGGGGGTGGGAGGAGAGAGGAGAGGGGTATCCGTGGCTGATATGTAAAATTAAATTATTTATAAAATAAAAACATTTATTTAAAAAAAGAGTTCATCTTGTAGGCTATAGTCATTTGAAGACCAGACAACATTAATACTTGGAATACACAAAATGACCTACATATGAGAGCACAGATGCTTAGGATAGGATTGTTGGAGCAAGCTGGGGTTAAGTGATAGCTTGGAGTTCTTAGAGTGACAATGAGAGGCAATACAGAGTAATGAAGAGTAGGGAAAAGGTGCTACTGGTGTGGACCAGAAAGGGACTGAGGAGGAGCCAGATCTGAGTTATAGTTGGGACTTTGTGAAGACAGAGGAAATACAGAGGGAAAGGAGCAACAGGAAAAGGAGGGGCAAGTGTGAAAGAGCATGGGACACTGGCAAGGATCCATGCAGGATAAGAGGACAGGATAAAAGAGCAACTCATTTCTATGCTGTACTCACTCTCTAATCCAGACTCATTTCAGGAACAAATCAAGTCTTGAATCTATTTCCAAGTCTAGGAAAACCATGGCCTGTCTGTTCCATGTTCCACTACTCTTGCTGACAACTCTCATGGTGGCTATGAACCTGAGCCTGAACCCTGTGCTGGGTGACACACTACTAGGTGGCATAGAGAAATCCAGTATGCAGGAGGAGCGGGCCCCAGAAGCACTGGAATATGCTGTCAGCAAATACAATGAATACAATAATGACTTGCATCTGAGCCGTGTTATAGGAGTACAAAGAGTCCAAAACCAGGTATGTGACCCTTGAAGTGAAGCAACCTGAATTTGTCACTTAGAGAGTCGTACATGTCACCTTAGTCCAGCATTGACTCCTCCCTGCTGCACCATTCCAAAATGTAGTACACGTTTGTAAGTAAATTTGTTGAAACTCTGTGGGTTTGGTCCTGGGTTTCAGCACCAACAATGTGAGTAAATTTGTCGCAACAGCTTTGGGGAAATGTGTTCTGACTACCTGGGGAGTCAGGCAACACCCTGAGCTGCTTAGCACAGCTCTGAGGGCTGGAACTGCAAGGAGACAGTTTAGCCCTGGAGGGCACGGTATCCTGGACACCTCAAGCTGCTCAGAATAATAGCTCTGCCCTGAAGGTGTTCCAGACATCTGGAGCTATTTACCACAGCTCTGACAGTTGGAACTGCAAAGAAGCAGCCCAACCCTGGAAGGGAAATTTTTCTGACTTCTTGGGAAAGTCAGGCCTGGAATTGCTTTAGCAGGGAAGGGTATCCTGACTGTTTGGGAAAGTCAGGCTATACCTGGTGTGGTGGGGGATTGTCTCCCCACAAGATATAGCAATCCTGTTCCTCTCCTGGAGAGCTGCTACAGCTGAGATTTGCTCAGTCCCCACTTAAGGGGGCTTCCTAGCAGAGCTCTGATTTTATGTCTTAAGGTGTTGCTTCTTTTGTTTTACTCTGAAAAATGGGAAACACTTGCAGAAATGTAGCAATTTCCTCCAGCTCTGGAGAAAAATGTTATTTTTTCAGCTCTCTCTTGCTCTGTCCACTGAGGGACATCTCAGAAAGGATCTGTTCAGTTTCTCCTTGCTCTGCTCTTTCAGCTCTCCCTTGTTTTGTCCACTGAGGAATGTCTCAGCAAGGATCCTCTCTATGCCAGTGAATGAAGATCTTCACACCCAAAATTCTTTTGAGAAAGATATTTATTTGGGAAGGAGGAGTCCAGGAGAGTAGCTGCCTCTACCAGGGTAGAGAGAATAGCCTTGAGCCTTGACAGGTTGATGAGGTCTCATTATTCTGATATCAGAGGCAGGCTAGTAGTCTGTATAGTTTTTGGGATTGTCTCTTTATAATTGACAAGCATGGGTTAGAACTATCAATTCAGCCTGCTTATTTGTGGTATGGACCGGAAGAGCTTGTGTTTTGATTGCTATGATGTCTTAGATGATTGCATATCCTACTCCACGTACTCCTTCATATAGGAAGGTGCTGTCATCTGTATATCATGTATAAGTGGTCTGAGGTAGTGCTCCTTCCTGCATATGTATTGGATAGGGTAGTAACTCTTTTAGAGTCTCAATGTATGAGTGTGATGGTGGTTATTACAGGACTGGTTGGGAGAGAAGATTTGAAATATTAAGAGGTAGATGTGGTTGAAAAGTCAGTGTTGTTTTCTCTACCAATGCCACCTGAAGGGAGAGAACTTGAGAGGGAGGTAATGTTTGAAGGCCCTTATATGTTAAAAGGTGTGACAGATGGTGAGGAGAAAGGACAGTAATGGGTGACCCAAAGGTTGGCTTCACAAAGAGGTACTTTCTATCTGGGGGTTCAGGATCCAGGTTGGTACACTGTGAAAGAGACTTTGTAAAGTGGTTGAGGAATTCAGATGGGTTTTCAATTTTTTTCCTGGATGATCCTTTGGAATTTTTTTTTATTTACTGCCTAAAGGGCAGCCCTGTGGAGACCAGCTAGGAGGCAGATTAAAAGCCTATTCCTAGCCGGGCGGTGGTGGCGCACGCCTTTAATCCCAGCACTCGGGAGGCAGAGCCAGGCGGATCTCTGTGAGTTCGAGGCCAGCCTGGGCTACCAAGTGAGTTCCAGGAAAGGCGCAAAGCTACACAGAGAAACCCTGTCTCGAAAAACCAAAAAACCAAAAAAAAAAAAAAAAAAAAAAAAAAGCCTATTCCTAGCTAGGATGTCTCCTGGGTTACTGTAATCCCTGGTCTGAGACTGCCCTAGCCCCAACTGGGTAGGTGTTATCTGTTTGATGGAGTTTGCCTGCATGGACCCTAGCCTGATCCCAGACTTGCCCATGTTCTTCTGGGAGGAGATTGTTGGTAAGGATCACATATACATCATAAAAGGTAAGGTCATAAGATTGAGTAATGTACTGGAATTCTTTATTGAAAGTAGAATAATTCACAGTATAGGACCCTAACCTTCTTTCCACTTGGGAGAGCTCAGATAATGAGAAGTGGACTAAACCATCCACCCCAGCAACCTCTTACAAAGGGAGAACTGGAGCTGGTTTAGATCGGGGAGGTTCAGGAGGTCCCAAGGTAGAGCATAAATGAGTAACAGGAGGAATAGGGGCTGTTGGTGAGTTCAAAGTGGGTGCCAGGGAGAGTTGATCTGGTGGATGACCTGTTTCTGAGGAGTGAGAAAGGGAAACTGAAGGGACTGGAAGAGAGGGAGCTGTGGGCTTTGACTTTGGTTTTTAAGGAAGAGGCTCATTAGCTGGATCAAAAGAAATTGATTTATGCTGTTTTGACTTCATAGCTAGCAAGAGCTGGGTGGGGGAACAGGAGGCACAGAGAGAAAGCTTGGAGTGAAAGTAAGAGAAGGCTTTAACAAAGAGGGTCTCTTTCCATTTTCCCGATCGCTCCCAGTAGTTGTAAATGTCCCATATAATATTGGGATCTAGCGTGCTGTTGTGTGGCCATTTAGATTGATTATCTAAAGGATAATGAGGCCAAACTTTGTTGCACAACCAAGCAAGTTTAGGGCCTTTCAAATCAGGTGCCAGTTGTAAAGGCTTGAGATTTTTTAGGAGACATCCCAAGGGGGTTTGGGAAGGTACAGAGTGCAGGATTTCCATGGATGAGAGGTGAGGGAAATGGTTATTGCAGCCTGTAATTGTGGGCATCCCCTGGACTCAGGGGGGACTGAAAAGGGACCAAGCCATTCAGAGGGTTGTCACCCAACTCAACAGGGGTCTAGCTTAGCCTGGCTAAGCCAATGCAGAGACTCAGGTGCCTGGTGCCTTGTAAGAGGGCTTCTGACAGATTCAGGAATTCTCTCTCTCTTGTCCAGATGGGAGCTCCCTTGTCCAAATGGGAACTCCGGGGCAGGATGGAAGCTCTTATCTGGATGGGAAACTGGGGCAGGATGGGAGCTTTTGTCCAGACAGGAAGTCAGTGGTAGGATGGGCACTCTTATCCTGAAGGGAAGTCCAGGGCAGGATGTGCACTCTTGTCCAGAAGGGAAGTCCAGGTCAGGATGTGAGCTCTTCTTGTCCAGAAGGGAAGTCCCGGGCAGGATGGGAGCCCTCTCTGGTCCAGAAGGGAAGTCTGGGGCAGGATGGGAGCTGGGGGCTGGTCTCTAAGTCTCAGGAAGTGGCTGGGGTCTCAGGCAGAGGTTGGATAAGGCACAGGGACAAATAGCCAAACAAATGGAAACACATGAACTATGAACCAAAGGCTGAGGGGCCCCCAACTGGATCAGGCCCTCTGAATAGGTGAGACAGTTGATTGGCTTGATCTGTTTGGGAGGCATCTAGGCAGTGGTACCAGGTCCTGGGCTGATTTGAAACCTGGGCTGTTTGAAACCTGGGACTTTCGTAGGGATGCTTGGCTCAATCTGGGAGGAGGGGACTGGACCTGCCTGGACTGAGTCTATCAGGTCGATCTCAGTCCTCAGGGGTGGCCTTGATCTGGAGGTGGTGGGAGGGGGGGTGGGCTGGGGGAAAGGGGAGGGAGGCGGGAGGGGGGATAACGGGGAAATCTGTGGCTGTTATGTGGACTGAATAGTATTGTAAAATAAAATAAATAAAAAGAAAAAAAGAGGGCTTCTGTAGAAGCAAGAGGGCAAGAGAAAACTGAGCTCTAGGGGGAAGGACTCATCCAGAGGAAAGGGCTAAAAAAAGGGAGACTTTTGTGACTCCTTTTGTGGGAAGATGGGAGAGCACAGAAAGAGATGCATGTAACTGCCTGATTGCAGGGCTGAGGGTGGAGAGGTGTGGTCAGATGAAGAGGGCCAGCTGTAGCCTTAAAGACCATGGCTTTGGGTACCACTGCTTCCAAGAGTACTAGAGGTGTGTTGGACACTCAACGGTCACTTCCTCAGACCCAGAGAAACGTTTATACCGACCAAAAAGGGGATCTCACCTAATTGCTTCTGTTGGATGGAATGCTGAGCAATTGGTGAGCCAGAAGTTTTGTCCATTGCAGATGGACTGGAGATAAGGTATGGAGTCCTAGTGTGTCTCAGACCATAAGGGGAGAGCACAGGCACCAAAGCACAGGCACCAAGGAGTCTATCCCGGGTTTTGGCACCAACAACTGTGATTTGCTACCATTGATCTAAATTGGACATAATGGCAGTATCCACAAGCCCCTGCCTTGTTTTAAGCCTTGTACTAAGATTTGCTGTTATCTGGAAGCTCTTGTAGATGGGAATTTGCTAAGTCAAATACCCTCTATTAGATTGTTGTAAACCTTAGAGACTTGATCCAGGTAGGGGCACCTGTGTTCCATATTTAACTTCCCAGCCATATCCTGAATGATGGTGCAAATCAAAGTCCTCTAAAAAGATAAATGTCCTGTTATCAGTCTTCTGAAACTTGGAGGCAGTGTCCACATATCAATAAGTGACCATAAAAAGGATAAATCATAGCCGGGCGGTGGTGGCGCACGCCTTTAATCCCAGCACTCGGGAGGCAGAGCCAGGCGGATCTCTGTGAGTTCGAGGCCAGCCTGGGCTACCAAGTGAGTCCCAGGAAAGGCGCAAAGCTACACTGAGAAACCCTGTCTCGAAAAACCAAAAAAAAAAAAAAAAAAAAAAAAGGATAAATCATTACCACAGCCCCCTTCTCTGTATGATTTTATTATGTCTTTTATTTAATTCTTATTTTGTCTATGAGAAAATGTTAAGAGCAGCCAAATCTGTATCCCAGAGCTTGACTGTCAATCTGTTGTCTCACTTCACTACTACATTTTACTGGGTTGGCTCCAGCTTCTTTTTTATCTCAAGGACATGCATGTATAGGTGAGTGGTTTTGTAAATGTGTGGAAATCAAACTGTTTACTGTAATTACTCCCCCAACTTGTTTTAATTTGACTTTTTTTCAAATTTAAAGTTTTAATTTTTTTCTGTATATCACTTCATGTATCTTGATCCCACTCATCTCCCAGTCTTTTCCCATTTGCCCTCTAGCCCTGCAATTGCCCTCCAGGTTAAAGGAAAGGTATACTCTGATGGATCATCTGTATTTTCAATATCTTTAACTGAGAAATGGATAACTAAATATCAAGAAAACCATTCTTTAAGTTTGTGTGATGGCCCTGTCAGGGCTGATTGGATCATGAGGACCATGAGAGTGCTTTGACCTAATCAATAGTTTAGTCTTAAACATGATTTCTTTCATGAATGGCAATAAGAGATAGGTGGAGGGCCTACTTGAAGAAAGAGGTCACTGGAGACCTGTATTTCTGACCATGTCTTTCTTTGATTCCTTGTATGCCCTGTACTTAGTTTTCTGTCAACCTGTTAGCTTTATGTTTCTCTACACTTTCTTTACCATGATGGACTAGTAACTCTAATAGCTTAATCAATATATAAAAACAAATCCCTACAAGAGCTCCTTCATTTATGTATTTTGTGAGTATTCAGTAAACTGCAAGAGAATCTTAGAGGATTGCATACAACTTTGGGTGTGAATCTCATTTTGATGACATGAAACTTAACACTAGAGGAAGAATGAGATTCGGTCTGGGTTCATAGGATTCTAAAATCCTCATCTCCTTTCACCTTTACTTCTACACAGTTCTGATAAATTGAGTTTGAGATTCCCTGTGGAAAAAGGAGCTGAATGTCTTTAATTGAAAATGTAAGCCACACTGGAGAGTTTCACACTCAAAGATATTCCTATTAACAGTCACACTGAGGGTGCTGACAATATAGGATTGTACTCTTTTGTATTGAAACATTCTTTTAGTGAAGCATCCCATGTTCTGTCCACATATGGATGAATCTAGATTAAAGGTAGGAAAAGATCCTTTGCTGTGAATGGGATCCAGGTACTCTTTAGTTATGAGCTCCATTGCTTCTCTTGGTGTACCAAGATTGCTTCTTCTTCACCTTTGTGCTGCACCTTAGAGTTAGTACTCTCCTATAGTCCAAAGACATCACCTGTGCTCAGAGCAACCCTGCATTGCTGAACAGAAAACTGTTGCTTACTCCCATCCTGGCTGTTGCCTACTCTTCCCAAGTACTTAGAAAGTTCTGCATTCTGTGTCCTGTTTCATTTATTAGCAACATTATACACTTGTGAGGCTTGTTCATAAGAACTAGCCGCGGTTATCTCTCTTTGGAACGTGGCTTGGGTGGTGTGTTGACTGATATTCATGGCAAGTCATGTGTGCAGGCATCCACGAATCCTCACCAAAGCCACTGACTCTACATTGTAAAAGAACTGCATTTGAAGGTCAGTCTAATGTTGAAAGTGAATCATCTTTTCTCTCTGCAGGTTATGTGTGGAACAAAATTCTACTTTGATGTGATCCTAGGCAAAACCATATGTAAGAAGACCCAGGCTAACTTGACTAACTGTCCCTTAAATGATCAGTCTGATCAGCAAGAGGTATGGACATGACATATTGACTGAACCTATTGTGCACACAGAAGGGTTCACAATCATGTTATTTTGTGAAACTACATATCATATCATGACTATATGTGTGCCGGTATGTAACTACATTAAAGTTGTGTGTATGTGTGTGCAGATTTGTACACTGATTTATAGGAAAATGTTTTTGCTCATAGTAGGACAAAGTTCTAAAGGTGCATATGTGACACAATGCTGTTTCAAGAAATGAATACATTTATTTTTTGTGAAGAGAGTATGGTTATTTGTGAAGGCATATAAGGGTTATTATGAGTATATATAGCCCAGGGGCATATTGTATTTGTATTTACATTAAAAATTTGAGTTAGAGTTTGGGTTGAAGTGTGAATTATGTACTCTGAGAATATTCCTAAATGCATTGGGTGTGTTTTTTGTTGGATAGGAGCAGACATCTCAGGTATCCTTGATAGGAAAAGGTCTATACAATCTCAAGCTGAACTCCTGTCAAGATTACCCCAAAATGAAGACAGCCTTTCAGTGCTTCCCCTTGCACCTGATGCCAAGCTTTTCTGTAACAGAAGTGTTATTGAGATAAAGTGGTTCTGTATATCACTTTAATTCCTCATCATGATGCCTTTCCCTGTCATGCAGTTTTCAAGATTTTCTGTGTACCAAGCCTCAGTTATATAATTGCTATCCCTGGTCTTAGAGGAGAGGGGATACAGCTTATTGAATCTGTCCCCCTTTAGTGAACTGTAAAATTCTTGCATGAGTCATGATCTACTCTTTTAAGTGCTGTTTTGACAAAGTGATGTGAAATCCTGTGAGCCTATAATGTACACTTATGCCTTATGGTTGATGAACAGCATTGGGCTGTAGATCAGCAGATACTGCTGATTCAGGCTGTGTCATTGGACATAGCAGATGTTTTCTGTTATATCGTATCTACATGCCCACTCCCTCTTGACATTTCTCACTGCAAATTTCCCCCTTAATTATATCAGCACTGATTAACCTCCTCTCCTCACTTTTTTCAGACAAAATTCTGCTCTTTTGATATGTATGTTGTGCCTTGGCAGAACCACATGTTCCTGACAACTTTCAGCTGTCACAAAATGTAAGTTCCTCTCAAGCAGTACTGTATAGATTGTAAACTTCTCTGGCAGTGCCTCATCACTCTCATGGACGATCTTGCCTTCCAGGTGTAACTCAAATTATCTGCACCAAGTTTCACAGTATATTAGGCTGCTAGCAGTAATTCTGCTTTAATACTCCAGAAGCTGCTCCTTGTTCTTTTCTCTTTTAATGCAAATGATCCATTCCATTGCTCCATTATACTTTTTCATTTGTTGCTCAATGAAAAAAGTCTCAAAGCTCTTCTTAAGTGGCTCCTATCTCAAGATATATAGAGTGGTAGGATGGGAAAGTGGTTTTTGGGATTTCATATACAAATATGCAGAGCAGGACAAGACCTGCTGTCATTGTAATATTGAGAACTCAGAGATAATAAAGTACAGGAAGGGACTGGAAGTCAATTTTGCTGACATTGTAGCCAATAGCAGAAGGATGAGGGAATGGGCAGCAATATTGCTGCCCTTAAACCTATGCTGCTTGCGTAAAACAGATTCAGACAGTTAGGTATGTGTCTTGTCTACCAAGAACAGAGATGATCCACCCTCAAGAGCACAAGATATCTAATGGAAGTGGCCTCATTCTCTGCCCAGATTCTGAAAAAAAAATCCATATGTGAGGAGGCATGGATTCTATTTCTATCAGGAAAAATTTTAAATACCTGTAAGAAGCAGAGACTAAAAGTGAATGTGTATTTCTGTGCATGTATGTATGTTACTCATTAGTAAAACATTAATCAGAGTCCAACAAAGGATGAAATAATCCAGAGCCTTGAAAAGCCCATATAAACTCATATATTCCTGGCTGATGTGACTCATGGGAGAGATATGTGACAGTTGATTGTAGCATTTCTTTGTTCTGGTGTAACACAAGATATCATGTGAAGATTTAAATTTGAAGTTATGTGCAAATCACAAATGGACTCTTACCCCATCAAACTACAATCAGCTAGGCATTTTAATGACTGACTTCTTTATGTAACCATGTTTCTATAGAAGAGGAACATCTTAATGTCTTTGAATTAGAAGTCACAGTACTAAATCCATGTCCTCTCATACTTTCCCTATCATTCTTCTACCTGCAGCTTAGGGCACAAATATTGAAGCCATCTCTGTCTGACCACTGAAAGAGCACAGTCAAATTCCTTTTATAAACAAGCAAATATTAGGAAGCTGCCTTGAGTGCATTTCTCTTAGCACTAAAGGTGACATGATGAAGGCATCCCACCCTGAATACTTGTAGTCCAAGTTCCTCATCTTATGAGAGTGCACCTAAGGGAAAGTGAAATCTTCATCTAAGGGCCTCACTCATGCAGTGAAAGGATGTCTCTATCCTTCACCTTCTTTTCTTAAGTCTCTGGAATGTAGAAAACTAACCCCATTCAAGAGGACATGGACTGTCAAGAGCTGAATCTATGCTGACCCTGCTGCATAGTGTAATTAGAGGTCCCACTTCATCTTTCAAAGAAGAATGCTTGATACAAAATCTTTCACGGCAACTGGGCTCTGAATTCAACTTTCCTACTGGGAAGTGCTAAATAGTGTCTCTATAACCACCTAGCAACATGTCAATATACTAATAAGTAGACATCTATTGTGTGATATTTTGTTTGTGTTATGACAAATAAAGCTTGACTGGAGATCATATGGCAGGGCTAGCCTTTAATTAAATCATAGAGGGCAGGCAGTGGTGGCACACAGCTTTAATCCCAGCATTTGGAAGGAGGAAGCAGAAAGATCAGGAGTTCAAGGGCACACTGGGCTACACAAGATTGACCCAGTCTAAAAGAGAAACAGCAGGGCAGCGGTGGTACATGTCTTTAATCTCAGTACTAGGAAGGTGGAGACAGGAATATAAGGCATGTGGAGACAGGATCTTGCCCCGCCACCCTTTGGTCTGAGGATTAGTAGAAGTAAGAAGATTCTTGTGGCTGCTACTCTGCTTCTCTGATCTTTCAGCCTTCAAGCTCAATATCCGTCTCTGGGTTTTACTGTTAAGACTAATTAGGTTCACCCTACAGATACCTCATCTCTTTCAAGGACATCTATGTTCAGCTAGTTACGCCACTTTATCATAACCTACTCAGATTGATGTTAAGACTTCTCTTACTCCTGTGGCTATCTCATTCTACATACCCTCAGGAACAACTGTTGAATTACATAGCAGGAACACAAGCTATTTTAAAATACTTGATCCAGAATCTGGTAGTCCACATGTCATTGCAACCACATTTGTGTGGGAGAAACCCAGACCCTACACTTGGCTACACAAATTACTCACCTGAAATATTAAGATATAGGTGCCCATTTGTAATAGTATCCACAGAAACAAATGCAACACTGCCCTACTGAAAGACAATATTCAGCAGAGTTTAGTTTTCTGTTTTGTTTCTTTTTCAAAAACTATGTCACTGTCTATTTCTGTGTGCTTATAACCCGGTCTCAAAATCTTTTGGCTAGCATTGCTATCACATTTGAGAATGATACAATTGGGGCCAGTGTTTTCTGTTCAATTGAGTTTCCAATCTCATGGGAATTAGACGGTGACCTCCAAAGTAAATACAGACAATGTTCTGCATTGCCAAGTCAGAAAGGCCACTGAGAGATGCTCCAAGTGTCACCGACAGATTAGTTTTTGTTTAGTCTGGAGAAATGTATGACCATCCCTGGGTAACCAATCTTAGGTCACAACAGAAGCTGTCCTACAACTTTGGTCATATGAAGACATTCAGTAAGTTTTGTTCAACTGAACCTCAGGGAAGGGCTGGTTCACTGCACTTTGAATAGATAAAAATGATGGTCATTCCATTAATTATCAGAGATGGCTTGATACACATCCTTATCTTGTAAGATGCATATTACATCCCTCTCTGTCTCTTTCTCTGTCTCTCTGTCTCTGTGTTGATCTCTATCAATATCTCAATCTTTGTGTTTCTTTTTTGTTGTTCTTGGTGGTAGTGATGGTGGTGTGTGTTTATGTGTGTTTTATGGGAGAATTCAAAATATGTTTGCATGTCTATAGAATGTGGGATATACTACACAGTTCTTAATCCTGACTGTAGCTATGAGATCCAACTGTATATTTTTGCACCTGAAACTCTCTAAGAAACACTAAGCCACGTGTAAACTTCTAAGAATAAGAGTTTCTTTTTTTAGGGAGTTAAAAAGAAATAAAAACCATTCTTTGTATTCATGCTGTGCAAAACACATGGTGGAAAAGAGTTAAAAGATTTTTATCAACAAAATTTAAATTCATAATTTGTTTTCCTTGTTCTTTTTTGATATATCTTCATATATTTTTAGAAGCTGTCCTCCATTATTTATTTTTCTGTGTCTTCTGGACACTTTTTAAACATTGCATTCTGATTTCATAGTACATTCCTACAACCTCCCAGGTCACTTACTGGACCCGTGTCCTAAATAAACCTGTTCCATTGTCCTTTCTTCTTTCCCTTCTGTCCTTCCTTCTTAACTCCCTATTCCTTTCTGGAGAATGTTGCACAGTCTAAAGTGACAAGTGACAAGTTCATCACAACAGGCAGAGAAAACCCCAAGGTTCTCCAACTGCACTGAAGGGGAATAGTTGGAACACAAAACTGTAGCCATTTGTTTCCACACATTCTATTCTGCTCTCATATGTGAATTCATTGGGAACCATTTGGACAACTGAAAACCCATGAACAACATAAACTCCAAGAAGGGCCAAATTCTCTTGGACTCATTTACATCTAGGTATTGTAAGCTTTTGACTTCAGAATCACACTCCCTGAGGATTTTTTTGAGAAATATTGTTCCTCTGTTAATAATAACATAATTGTACAGTCATAAAAATGAAAAGGAAACAGTTTTAATTTATTACTGCCTGTTGTTATCAGATGTGAATGGCACCCTGATTGAGGGAGAAAACAGTTTTTAAATACTGAGGGCATAGGCTCCTTGCCCTTTTTGTAATAATCAGTAAGCACAGTCTCATTAGTCATCTCTGGCTTATATATTGCTCTGTTAGGCACTTTTCTGTTTTTCTCATCAAAAATTATGTGAGTTCCACTTTATATTTTATGTATATCTTATTTTAAAGATTTTTATGTGCATATCATTGGAGACAAGCATGGCTATAATTTTCTAATCAATAAATATAGTTTGGGTATGTAAAGGTGTGTTACTCAATAGAGGTTAGGTGTGTGTATGTGTGTACCTCAGTAAAGTTTGGGTGTGTGCAAGTAAGTGTTCATCTCAGCAGCTTTGGTAGCCTGGGGATAGCTCCACTAGCTGACGTGAGCAGGGTCTAGTGTTTTATATTCATCTGTAGGTAGACTGAAAGATAATTAGCTTTTCTATTGACCATTACTTTCTGAACTCTGGCATTGGTGTGAGGTTGATTGTTCTCATGTTCACTCTTCTTAGGGACAACCTCAGCAGTGACGGATGACTGGTGCCAGTAGCTCAGAGGAAAAGGCACTTGTTCACTCTGTAAAGTCTTTAAGTTGATCATTGACATTTTGCTGAATCTCAGACACAATCCACGGTCCACAGAAAATCTATTTCCACAATTCATTCAGAATTCTTCTTTCAAAGGATGAGAGGAATCTGGGTACTTAAAATGTAGGAATGTTTCTAACCAAAAATAAAACCATGTAATAACTGCCCATTAAGTCTGATTATTGAAGGGATAATGTTTTCAGTGTGTCACTTAGCCATGTCTATCACATTTTAAATTAGAAAAGGAATCCCAGACATAACTGTAGTGAAGCAGGAGCTAATTCACCAGGAAAGAGGGATTATGGGTTTTTGCTGTGGATTCAAGAAAAAGTCCACAATTCCTACCATGTCTGGTTCTACATCTGGAAATGAGACTCACCTAAACAATTATGAATAATACTTGAAGATTATCTGCCATATTTTCACATCCCTGCTTGAAAATTCCACAATGTTGCCACCTAAGGAAGGATTTGTTTTATATATGGATCTGGGTTTTAGAAGTAGGAGTCAAC